CCCTGAGGACTCGCTGTGCAGGTTGGTGCTGAGAGACGCCTCACAGAACCAGAACCAATCACAAAATAACACTTGATTTAATTTTAGATTATTGCTTTTTGTTCTAAAAAATTCCTCCAATAGCTGCAGTGAAACATTTGATCACTGTGTGTTAAACTGTTGGTAAAATAAAGAATTTAAACTTTTTCTTCTTTAACTCAGATCAACCAAAGGAAGCAGACAGCATGGCAGCAGCACAGCCTGGTGAGTTACACCTCTGAGCAACACAGATGACTTTATCTGTTGTTATCAAGAAAGCACAACAAAATGGAAAACATTAACATAAAATGTATTTAGTATGTATAATGACAATGATGAATCATGGTTCTAAAATAATATGATAATAAACAGAAACATGGTTCAACCTTGGACTAAAATCCATCCCAGAGTTTCTCCACCATGACTGGCTGCTTCTGGGTTCTGGGAAAGTTGTCCTGATGGTTTTTATCCTCATCAATCTAAGGATGCACACAGCTGAGCTCAGCATCAGTGTAGATATTGTTAATCCTGATTGATTATGTTTTTTATTAAAACAAAGATAAAAACCTTTAATCAACAGACTTCAGCCCACGGCCTGCTCAGCTTTAACAGAGACAGAATGATAATCAGTGCTTCTCCTCTGGGTTCATCTGCAGCTTCACAGCATATTTTAACCTTTTATTTATAAATAAATCAAACAGACGATCCTGGTCTGACCTCTTAAAGGATGTTTATCTACATTTGGACAGAGGGTCTAATTTCTGTTCTTAGATCCTCATAAAACATCTGCAGATATTTTAACTTTTCAACCTTTTTGATTTCTGTTTTTCTTCCTTGGATAACTTCTATTTATTGTTGATCAAAAGTATTTTAATTAATAATTTATCAGCAGTGTGATTCATATAAATAAGGGATAATATCTAATATTTTTACTCCTTGCTGACAGATCCCCCAATGAAGCGCCGTTCTAGCAGTGAAATCTTTCGTCCAAACTGTAAGTACGGCTTAACTGAGTCCAATATTCCTGTTTTTTGGATCCGTCTGTGGAAATAATGTGTTTGAAGTTTTATTTTGAAGTTTTAGTCTAAATGTTGTTTGTTGATCCAACCTGCATCGATGCAGAAACTCAGGGAAGAACAGAGTTAAATCAATTCAGCTAATATTAGGTCAATGATTAAAACTGTGACCAGTTGATCTTTTTTTCTGAAATTAAAAAATCAAAGTTGATGTTATGTATCACAATCATATTTTGTAGAAAATCATGACCAAAGAACACGTGGTTCAGATTTAGGTTTTATTTGAGGTTCAGGGATGTTCATAGACTGTAACATCCCAGGTTGGTTTAATCTTCTAACTGCAGCATTTAGGTCAGTTTGTAAACATATATAAATATACATGTATTTTCTGCCTATGGTAACCCAGCCAACTAAATTGACACATTCGTAGTAGATTGCTTGCAGCAATCCCTCATGCTGGGCATGCAAGTGGTAACAGTAGGAAGGTTCTTCAGGTCGGCCTTGATTGTTACTTGAATTTAATAAACTGACTAGTGGTTAGAGAAGCGCGCTTGTGTTCTGAGAGGGCTGCAAGTACTCGGTTTGATCCCCACAGCCTCCCCTCTGGCTCTCTGAGCAAGAACCTTAACCCTACAAAGCTCCCCAGGTGGCCCACAAGGGCAGCCCACTGCTCCAAAAGAGGATGGCTTAAGGTAGCATGGGAAATATCTCCAATGTGAGATCAATAAAGTTCAATTTTTATAATTATTATCAGAGCACAAATCTGGGAATGATGTCACAGAAACATCATTAAACACAGAGTCTAACTGTAACACACTCAACTAAAGTGTGTTTCAGTTGCAAACCGGTGGAATCTCGTGGGATTTGTTAACAGTTGGGCACTGAGCTCTGTTTGTTCTTGATGCTGATGTCTTTTGAGTATTTAATGCTTCTTAACAGAACAGCAACACTTTAACTGACAGAGATCCATTGCAAATAGGAACAGGTTATCATTATTATTATCACCTCTTCATTGAAGCAAATTTAAGCTGTATTTGTATTTATACTAGGTCTGAGTCTGTGACAATTCTTAGGTTTCTATTTTTCCAACTTTTGAGTAAAACTAGAATCAAACTATAATTTGTTCTGGTTCTTCATGGACTGTTTTCACACTGACTTTAAACACTGAATTCCTCTTTTTCTTCCAGTGTCTGAGGAGGGGAATGGAGAAAAGGATGAAGGTTTGACAATGACTTTAAAACCTAAAGCTTCACTAAACCTGGTTTTGTTTGGAAGGAGAGGACCAGTGAAGACCTCTGCAGCCAAGGCCATTCTAGGTCAGATAGATCTACCTTCAGCCTCCAACTCCTCAGAGTGTGTTAGAAACCAGGGAGAAGTTCATGGACGTTTGGTTTCTGTGGTGGAGCTGCCTGCCTTTTACGGAAAAGCTCAGCAGGAAGTGATGGAGGAATCATTCAGGTGTATCTCCCTCTGTGATCCTGAGGGTGTCCACGCCTTCATCCTGGTCCTACCTGTGGGTCCCCTCACTGATGAAGACAAGGGAGAGTTACAGACCATCCAGGACACATTCAGCTCTAGAGTCAATGACTTCACTATCATCCTGTTCACTGTGGAGTCAGATCCTACAGATCCTGACTTCATAGAGACTGATAGAAACATCCAGGAGCTCCTTCAGGGCTGTGGAGGAAGATATGTTGTTCTCAACATCAAGGACAGTCAGCAGATCCCAGAACTGATGGAGACGGTAGAAATGATGATTAATGAACAGTTAAGATCCTTCTCAAAAGACGTGTTCACCAGGATTTTGATTGAGAGAACTTTAAAACTGAAAGCTGAACTGCAGGATGTGGAACCGAAGAGTGAGGAGGAGGGTGAAGATGAACCACAGTCAATAGAACCACGGAGGAAAGAGACGGATGTAAAGGAAAAAGACGAAGAAGACAAGAAAAAACACAGAGATGAAGTTAAAGCCCTTCAGGCTAAACTTGAACAGGAGAGAAAGCAGAAAATTCAACTGCTGAAGGAAAAAGAAGAATTGATGGAGTCTGAAAGGATAAAGACAGAACGTGAGGAAGCAGAAAGAAAATGGAGAAGGACGGAAGAATCACAGTGGAAAGAGTGGCAGCAAAAATTTGGTGCTTTACAAAAACAAGTAAGTTTTGAACGAGAGCAAAAAGAGGCGGCTGAGAAGAGGCTGGAGCAGTGCAGACGAGAGAGGGTCAGGGAGAGGGAAGCTTTTGAGAAAGAAAAGGACAAAATCTGGGAGCGAATGCATGAGGAGCTGAAACAGAACCTGCAGGAGGAGAGGATGAGTCACCGAAAACTTCTGGAAGAGTACTATCGGAAAAGAAGGAAATGGACTTATGTGTGGTTTGCTTCACTGGTACTTTTTCTTGTACTACTATATTTGTATCAAAGCCGTTAAGTTATTGATCCTGTAAACTTTTTCCGAGTTTTCCGTTTTACAAATATAGTTTCCTCATCCTC